GGACGGCGGGCGCGGGACGGAGGTCCGCGCTGCCTTACCCCTGCCCCCCTTTCCCCGCACTCCTTCTGACAGCCGGGGCAGGAGGAACGCGGTAGAGCTTGCCGGCATTAAAAAAAAAGCCAGGGGAAGGTTTTCTTGGCGCTGTTTTGGTTTCGGTTGTTGTTTCGGTATTTTCGGAGAAGTTAATGTGCAGTAGGGTGGTTTTTTTCCCAGTAGGCCTTGCTCCCCTGACAGCGTTTGTTCCCCGAGCAGGTCTCGGTGCTGTATTTCGCCAGGAGCGCGGAGCTGGCAGGGCTGCGCTGCGAGAGCCTCTCGGTGCCACGGCAGATCACCTCTCTGCAGCTCTGGGAGGAGATCGTCAAGGTTCACCCAAGGTATTCGGGAAGCTGTCTGCTGAGGCGCACAACGCCTAACGTGGGTGGGGGGTGGGGTGGTAAATACAAATTCAGCGTGTAGAGTTCAGCTGGAACACGTATCAGGACTTTGATACCGTAAAAGCAGTGACATTACCTTGTTCTTGTAACCTGTAGTGACTGTTTTGGTAACTTGCAAATGTTGTAGCTTTATATATAGGTAAGGTAAGACTAAGTCCAATAAATGCACCCAGAGGTTGAGCCTGAGGGGTAGTTTAGGACATTTAGGTAGTTTAGGTAGTTGTCCACGAGAGCCATGGGCACAGCAGCTCCACTGCGCGTAAAAACACCTGAGCTGTGTCATTAACCAGTGGAGATGGTGACGTGTCTCAAGGAGGGACCAAGCACAGCCAGGAAAATAAATAAGAAATTCCTCATAATGTCTAGGTGTTTTTGATCACTTATCTTTAACTGTACTGTTAGCTGTTGGTCTGAGCTTCTGGCACACTCTGGAAGGCAGGTCAGGAAGGGAACTGATACCCTGCCACAGGTTTCCAGCCACTTAACCCTTACATAGGAAATAGGCTCAGCCACTTTCAACCTCCTCTGCTTTCAAAAAAACCAAACCCACTGTTGGTTGCATTTCACATGGGCTCTGGTCCTCAAGAGAGTGCTAGGTGTGCACTGTAAGGACCCCTGCAGTGCTGGTGCTCTTTGGGGGTGTCAGCAGTAATCTCCCCGTAGGTGAAGGGAAGGTTAAGGGAAGGTGCTCGGTCCTGTCAAGGATCAGTCTGACAGACAAGGGTACAACAGTGTTTTGCAGGGGGGAGTAAAAAACCAAAAAGTAAGGTATAACAGAGGTTGAGATCCTCAGGACTCGGTGCTGAATGCAGTGGAATTTAGGTGCCAGAGTCTTCCTTTAGGCACCACCCTTCTTTATTAGATCTAGTCTCAAAGGCTATGAAAAAAATTAACTATTTAGCAATAGCATCTGTTTCCAAATGAGAAGTTCTAACCAAATGTTAGACCAGAGGCCTTTTCCTCACCAAGAATTGAGACTGAGTGTATTCTGGGGGAGGAGGCAGTAGGGAATGATAGAATTTTACTTTGCAGCCTATTATGTGGTGTCAGAAGCAGGAGCAGCACCTTTGGTCAGTTTGCCATAGTTTGTCAGCTTTGTCCTTTTATGAATGATGACTTGGGGCGGTACATATTGCATGTGCAGTTACTGCACAGCGGCCTTCTTGGAAAATTATTCTGCTCTTAGCTTTTCTGGAAAAACTCAACATAATTGTAGGACATTGACCACAGACTTCTATTCACATTGCTAATGGATATTCAAACTGCAGCTTGAGCATACTTGACAATACTCTTCTGTTCCACCCATTTTCCCTGATGAATTAACTTGCAAGTGACATTAATTAGAGCCCATCCTTGTAACGGGCACTTCAGTTTGGTAGTTGTGCTCAGTTCCTCAGTGGCTTGCTGTACTTTCATGTAGTCCCTCCCTTCAGTCTGCCCTCTGAGTCAGTGCTACTGTGTTTTGCTCAGCCTGTGCCTTACTTCTGTCTATCTGGCTGGTAGGAAATAAGATTATTTTCACTTGTACCCTTTTGGTATACCTATTTATTTCTAGGCAATACAGTGCTCTGCTGTCTGAGACAGATTTTGTAGTCTCAAACAGTACAGTTATCAGGCCTGCACTTGCTAAAGAAAATATTGGCATTCTTTTTCTGGTGTCTTGCTGGTGTTGTCCTCATACTCACTGTGTAATTACACACAGTCATGAAAGTGACTCCCTGCCTCATGGTATCCAGAGCTGTAGACTCTTACAGCAGCATCTCACAGATGTGAAATCAAAAACTACATAGAAGATCTGCCAGGAAACACACCATATCTGACCTCTTAGTTCTGTTGCCACTCCTTATCAGTAGCAAATTTCAGACCTCAAGTACAAAAGACCCAAGGCCTCATAAACTGTGAGATTACATAAGAGCAGCTCTTTGACGACTGAATCTTCACGAGATCTCACGAACAGCATCCTGCAGTCTTGCCGTGTAAGAAAATTGCTCCAATCCAGCCAGATTGAATTAGGGGAACATTTCCTTCTAACCCCAAATTGGATGGTTGCTACCCTGGTGAGACTCTTACTTTTTTGTTTGAAGCTGCTGAAGTGGGTCTGGTGTACATTGGTTCAATCCAGTTCCTGAGCCCTGAAAATTTTACTGTGTTGGTATTGTATTTTTGAAGGTGTATTGGAAGCAGAGTTGCTAAGTCTCAGTGATATTTGCCTCAGCTGCCCTAGACTGTGCGCCAGTTTGTTGTTTAATGAAATCTCATAGCTAAATGCAAACACTGTATTTAGAAACCTGTTTGTGCTCCTGCCAATCCCCCTCAGGCTTGCTGTCATCCGGGATCAAGTGGTTATTGCTGTTCGGCAGGAGTACGTGCTTCTTGGAGATCAGCTTCTCGTTCTGCAGCCTGGAGACGAGGTTGCCATCATCCCACCAATTAGTGGAGGCTGAATCTGCCCAGGTTCTGTTAAGTAGGTATCACTTCCTGCTTAGTTTCCTATGGAGTGTCATCCTGTGCTAAAATATCTCATGGATCCTGTATAATGTTCTATAATCTTTTTTTGTTCAGGTCCAGAGATGTGACTGTAGTTCTCTCCCTCCACACTGGTACCCTTTTGAGAGAGTATAACTTGCACTTCCTGCTGGAGAGAACCATTCTGCTGAACAGAAACTATAAGCTGGTACACCAATAAATGATTAACACGTGTGTAGTAAATGGAAGAAAATAGCAAGAGAGGTAAGGCGTTGTTTTGAATTTGTGGTTTAGGTCTTGTTATTCTTTTATAGTTGTTCTGGCTGCCAGTATATACCCAGCTTGCCTAAATAATAATGAAAAAGCTTCTGCCACTTTGTAACAGAAAAGATGATACAGAAAAAGAATTGACTGCTGCTTAAACTTAACACGTGTGTAGTAAATGGAAGAAAATAGCAAGAGAGGTAAGGCGTTGTTTTGAATTTGTGGTTTAGGTCTTGTTATTCTTTTATAGTTGTTCTGGCTGCCAGTATATACCCAGCTTGCCTAAATAATAATGAAAAAGCTTCTGCCACTTTGTAACAGAAAAGATGATACAGAAAAAGAATTGACTGCTGCTTAAACCCGCACCCCGCCCCCCCCCCTTTTTTTTTTACTGTCCTTAGCATAGCTTCATTTCTTTGCATGCTTTCAGGTCCCAGTCCATGTATTTACTGCAACTTGTACCATTGCTGCTGCTCAAAGTAATGCTTTTCCTCCTCATTCTTAGGTGAACTGATGACTGGTTTCTACTCAGAGAGATTAGAAGTATCTCCTGTGTCACTGAAACAGACCGATAGTGTGAGGACCTGAATGTCCTGGCAAGCATATTAAACTTTCAGATAAACGTGTTTATCAGAAATCTCTGTTTTAAACTCTGTTTGATTTCAGGATAAAATAGGGAGGAGGGGCTGACGATGTTACCACTGGTTTACTAGCACAGTAGTCCATGCTGGTTGATTGTACTGCTACACTGGGACCACAGACTAGTTCTAGTTTTGTCCTGCTGGACTAGACTTTCCTACTAGGAAGAAACTTGTATCCATTAAAAACCAGGTCATTGTTTGACGTTTGGAGTTAATACTCTCTCAGCAAGTCTGCTGAGAAGTGAATTTACTATGGAGACTGGTCTCCTGGGGTGAGGAAGTAGATGGTGCATGTTTTCTGCATAAATTGGGGCATCAGCACTGGATGAAAAGCAGTTGGCCAGTGCTAGTATTGCCAAAAAAAATAACAGTCTGTTTCAGCTTTTCTGGTGAGCTATGGATGAAAGTGAAGATGTGCCAAAAGATTTTATCAACCTCAAGTCCGAAAAGCTCTCTGTAGATGAAGTGTCAGAACTGGTCATTTCACCATACTGTGGGGCAGTGTCTCTGTTCATTGGTGAGTTTAATATTTCTGAGCGGGATCTTTGGGTGTGTTAGTCTAATAAATGGAACCTAGATTGTCCACACGCCAAAGTCATGCTTCTCAAGTAAATAAATTCCTGGACTGAACCCAAGATGTTTAGAAAATACGTTCTGAATTATTTAGAACAAGACCATGGCAGCTCTTCAACAGTTGCACTGGGTCAAAGTGGTGAGAGGCTTCCCTGCTGGTGTGGCTATCCTAGGGCTGAACAGAACAACAGCTCTGGAGTAGAGGACTGCCTGGGAGCCCACCTGGAGTATTGCGTCCAGCTCTGGAGCCCTCAGCACAGGGAAGACATGGACTTCTTGGAGTGGGTCTGGAGGAGGGCCACAAAAATGATCAGAGGGATGGAACACCTCTCCTGTGAGGACAGGCTGAGAGAGTTGGGGTTGTTCAGCCTGGAGAAGAGAAGGCTCCAAGGAGACCTTATTGCAGCCTTCCAGTACTTAAAGGAGGCTTATAAGAAAGATGGGGACAGACTTTTTAGCAGGGGCTGTTGCGACAGGACAAGGGGTAATGATAGGACAAGGGGTAATGGTTTTAAACTAAAAGAGGGTAGATTTAGACTAGATCGAAGGATGAAATTTTTCACACTGAGGGTGGTGAAACACTGGCACAGGTTGCCCAGAGATGTGGTAGATGCCCCATCCCTGGAACCATTGCAGGTCAGGTTGGGTGGGGCTCTGAGCAACCTGATCTAGTTGAAGATGTCCCTGCTGATTGCAGGGGAGTTGGACTAGATGACCGTAAAAAGTCCCTTCCAACCCAAACTATTCTGTGATTCTCTTCTTCCATACCCTCGGACACAGCTTGTTCAAGGTGGGAAGTGGGATGTTGTGACTATGCAAACCACAGGTCCACACCTGTAGGAGAGCTCCTGCAACTTAGATCTTAGTTGAAAGTACTATTTTACCCATAGGCTGGTGAAGGTCAAGGCTGATAGCTCTGCCCTGGTGCTTAATGCCAATGGTGCAAATCTTGAAGCCCTTTTGTCCTTAAACCGTAGTGCTGCTGGGCTCCTAAATGCTGAGCACTTGAACATTGCATGAGCAAATGCAATATAATATATTGTAAATAGATAATATATTTATTTACTTAGTGCTTTTGCTTGATAAATCATTTGTTTTTAGGTACTACAAGAAATAATTTTGAAGGGAAAAAAGTGATTCGCTTAGAATATGAAGCATATACTTCAATGGCAGAGACCGAAATAAAGAAAATCTGCAGAGATGTTAGACAGAAATGGCCATCCATCAAACATATTGCAGTGCACCATAGGCTTGGGTATGTATGGCCAGAACCCATCCTTCCACAAGTGGAATATTAATCCTTGTCTGATGCATGGCTGTGCTTACATAGTTGCAGGATGTGCAGGAGTCTTTATAAACTGTAGTGCAGCAAAGCTGGCTGCAGAATCAAGCTTTTGCTGTGCAGCTAAGTTTCATAAATCACCTTTTAAAAAATGTGTGTATTGGTAGGGTTTGCAGGAGTCCACATTTAGCCTGCAGGATCCTTGATGCTGGTGTGATGGTTTGAAAGTGAGGAGAAGGATTGAGATTTTATTCCAGGGAAGCAGAGGCTGTTGGTTTGTTTTGTCTTTTTTTTTTTTTTAAGACGTGAAGTTGGCAGCACTTTCTTTTTGCTTCTGTCTTCCATTGAGGTGCTGCAGAATGTTCTTACTGCCAGATTTAAGTCAAAGTATGCCATAAGGAACCCAAAAGCTTAGAGTATAGGGAGTGGAGAGACGTGGTAATTGCCAGCCATGTTTGCTGGAGAACATCCTGTTGTTTGTTGAGTCCTGGATAAGCATTTTCTGTTGGATTCAAAACATGGAATACTAGTCTCTGACATACTCTTGAGCCTTCACTGTAGAAGGATTTTCAGAGTCTGTTGCAAATGCTTCTTTCCTTTTCTCTCAGCAGAAGGAACTTAATATTAGCTCTGAGTGGTAGTTACCTGAGATTTTCGCTGTAGTCAACAGAGAGAATGATCCTCCTGAGGGAAGCTAAAAGCATTTAAGCATAGATTTTTCCTATGAACTGTTTGCCAGAGGAGTCTTACTACAGAGGGAGGGTTAGGAGGCAGATTTTGGGAATGCTACCCTTGTGAGGAGCAAAACAAAAGCTTGTGCTACTTCTGTTAAGTTTGGAAAACAACGCACCAAACAGGAAAAACTTCACAACTTGAAATCAGAATTTGTCAAAAATTAATCTTTGTTACGAAATCTGCATAGTTTGAGTCACTTAATTTCTTCTTTCACAAATTCTTGTGCAAACTGAGATGATTTCTTAGGTTTTCAGGTAAGAACTGTCTGTTCCTAACTTGTTATTGTTCATTATTAAGCCAGCTTCCAGTGAGTTTCTTATGCGTTGTTGCAAGTTAGAAGTTTTCCCCTCTTAATTCCATAGACTTTATTTAAAAAAAAGAAAGAATGGAAGAAAAAAGCCTATGTCTGGTGGGTTTATTTATTCTAAAGTGTGGAATTTTCACATCTGGTACTGATTTTGATTGTGGTTTTGTTTCTTTTAAAAAGTGTATAATCTTTTGGACATGGCTTGACACTTGCTCAGTATGAATGAGTCAGGAGAGCGTGTGGCCAGAATACTGACGTGACATGGCTACAACTTTTGGGTGCTCTTGATGTTAAGCATTAGCTAAAACTGCTATTC